GGAAACCTTGCAAATCAGTCAGTTTTAGCCACACCCCCTTGCCGGGGTGATTGACAGCGGCTGCTGCTGGAAGATGCAGGCACGTCGTGCATCAGCATGGCATCCTGTAACTCCATGCAAGGAGGAGCCGCTGTTTGTGACACGCCCCCACCCCCAGCACTCCTGCATGACTCCCACAGACAGATGCATAATGGGATTTGCAGTTTCACCACAGCTGGAGGGCCAGAGTTTGCCCACTCCTGCATTAGGCATTGCAAGACTCCCTGAGGCAGATGCATGATGGGTCTCGTAGTTTCGCCACAGCTGGAGGGCCACAGCTTGTCTGCCCTAAGCTGTTGCGAAGTACCCTTGAAAAAAAAAAAAAAGCAGTGAAGGGTTTCCTGAAACAATCGTGCCCATAAACCCAAACATCAGGGAAACATTTTCTTTCCATCCAGTTTTGAGAATTACACAGTTTTGTATTGTAGCACCAGTTGAGGAACACTTACAGGCCTTGTCCCTCCCCCAGCCTATGACTGGAGAACAGCAGACTGATGAGCTCATATCCCAGTCACTCTGAACTCTCCACCTGCCAGCATTCTCCTTGTTAGCACATGTGTAGTGCAGCACATCTGAATGGCTCCTTGTGCTGCTTCTCCCTGTCCCAGTCTGAGCTCTGCAGGAGATCGATTTGAGGCGGATACCAAAACGAAAAATACATTTAATGAAGAGTTCTGGAATACAGAGCGGCAATAAGTTGTGCCTTTTGTATGTTCCTGGAGCTCGGCTTTAATCTTGGAGGCCGTCTATAAATTTATTCTACACTTGCTTTTTGAAGTGATTACCAGAGTCCGATAAATGTTTTCAAATTTTGATGATCATTATTTTCTTTTTTTGTAATGAATTATTTAACTTCGGCCCTCCAGCTGCTGTGGAACTACAAGTCCCATGAGGCATTGCAAGACTCCCAACAGCCACAGGCATGACTCCCAGAGGCAGATGCATCATGGGATTTGTAGTTTCAGCCCAGCTGGAGTGCTGAAGTTGCCTAGCCCTGCTTTATGCTATTGGTATGATACCTAGTAATGTTACCCTGGGCGCCTTTGAAGTTTGATTCGTGACTTCATGAAAACACATGATTCATGTGTTTTCATGAAGAAGTGAGGCCCACATATAGGCCTGCTGGGCTTATAGTATTTAAAGTAAAGCTCCACTTCCCTGAGGATGGCAGAAGACAAAATAGTATCCGGTGCGGATCCGGTCACGCTGCATTTGATCTGTTTTGGTGCATTGCCAGGCTTCAAATGTATTACAGATGAATTTTTACTCCCTGAGGTATTCAAGCTGAACGGCGGCCTTCCCTTCAGTCTTGCACAGTTGTAGCGGCTCCTCTCCTGGACTGACATGGCTTCCTCTGATCTCACTGCACACTGCGAGCTTCTCACAATGTGCCTTAGAAGCTGCAGCAAGTCAGATAGAGCCCACCTCATTTCCTGGCTGGAGGACATCCAGCTTCATCTAGCCCAGGGGTGGGCAACTCTATCGCTAAGATCAAGTGTAGTATCTGGTTTTATCAGTTTTCGGAGGAGAACAGCACCATTTGCCGGCGCTCATGGTTGCTTAGTATTCTCTGAAGTAATAGGTGGGTGCCGGAGGGGTTTGCTTTCCTCCTGGGTTGATTCTGGCCTGGTTATGCCGGGCTTGTCCCCAGTTGCAGGCATTAACCCCTCTGGATCTAATGCCTTCTGGTAGGAAGGAGGCTGCACTTGTCTGGCCGGAGAGTTCGGGGAGCGCAGAGGCCTGCAGTGCTGTTCCCCCTGGAAGTGGCGTCCCAGGGGTGCCGGAAAATCACTTGAGTTTGGGACCCCACTGTGATTCCCCAGCACTAGGTCACGGCACTAGAGCTTTTTCTGCACCACCCCTCTTGGGCAGGCCTTCTGGTTAGCCTATGAGTAATCTCCTTGTCGCACTCCTTACCGATATGTCCCTTGTAGTGGGGGGTGCTCGCAGTGACCGCGGATGGTGCCGCGAATGTCAGCAAAATTGTAGAAATGTCACCAGCACACCAGTCCTTTTTAAGATAGCAAAAGCTTCATTTATTGAGCCTGATGAAGGGACCCTGCGCGGTCCCGAAAGCGCTTGTTTGGTCATATGACAAAAAACTTCAATAAATTAAGCTTTTGCTATCTTAAAAGGACAGATTGTGCTGGTGACTTTTCTTCTGGTTAGCCTGGGGCAGTTTTTATACATTGGCCGGATGGCCTGCCAGGTTTGTGCCCAGGCACCTATTTATTTACGCACTTTTTGACTTCACAGAATGACGGAGGGTGCGGGTACCTTCGGGGCCCTTCCTGATGTTTGGGCAAAAGTGCCTCCCCCCCACCTGGGGGGTCTCCCTTCGGGAGAGCCCCCACCTAGTACTCGGTGGACTTGTTTTGGCAGGTCCATGAGAAGAGGGGTCCACCGGACTTTGGGTAGGTGGACCCAAGTTGTTCTTGTCCCTGTCAGGAGCCTTGCGTCCCGGGGGGTCAGGAAATCGAGGCCCTTTCTCTTCGGAGAAGGCCCAAAGCACCCTCCTGCACTTTTTTTTTTTAGTGTGCTGTGATTTCACGGTTCACTTTGTTTGTTCACAGGGGTGAAGTTTGCATGAGCAGGAGCCTTGCGCCCCAGGGGGTTCGGGAATTGGAGGCCCTTTCTCCTCGGAGGAGGACCACAGCACCCTTGTGGCACTTTTTTTTTTTGTGTGTTGTGATTTCACGATTCACTTTTTTGTTCACAAAGGAAGTTGATTTTGTTGCACGCACTGTGGACTTAATTAAAAAGAAAAAGAGGTGGGCAACTCCAGTCCTCCAACTGTTGTGGGAATCTACAGTCCCATGAGGCATTGCAAGACTGACAGTTACAGGCATGACTCCCAGAGGTAGAGCTATGTTGGGATTTGTAGTTTAAGCACAGCTGGAGTTGCCAGCCCCTGACCTAGCCCTGACTGTCCCTCGCCCGCCCCTTTCATTCATTGGTTTTCAGTTCTTTCAATCATGGAGACCCACAGAGGTCTAAAAAATGAAAATGGAAAGGTTTTATTACCACATTGATGAGGGGAAAAAGGAGGAACCAGATTAAAGCGTATCTGGTTATCAGCTTTAATTATTTTGTTCTTCTGTTTCCTTTGTTTTAAAGCAGAATTCGGGGGACAAAATGTAATTAACCCTTTCAGTGGGGCTACCCTCACACTGCAAGGGTCAAGTTTTTGTCTAGGTTCACAAATAGCGGAGGGGGAGCAAGGCAGAAGAGACCTGTCTAAGGGCAAGCCGGCTCAGAGGATCGGGTGAGCATAACTTTGTTATTTTTGAACCTAGACGCACATGAGCAGTTGACCCTTGCAGTTCAGGGGTAGCCCCACTGCAAGGCGTAGGAATAATTTTCCCCGGAGTTCTGCTTTAAATGATTATTAAACCTTGTTTTTGTATATATTAGGCTAGCAAGCAGTAGATATATGCAAAAACATTTTAAAAAACGAACATCTGAAGAGTCTCGGGTGGCCGCAAAGGATCTTGGGGCGGGCGCATGCGCAGTTCAGATGTTCGGCCGGGAGACGAGGAGAGACACAAGGTAAGTCTATGGAGCAGCGTGCACCCGCACAGACACCGTGGGACATCAGAGGAGGGGAGGACAGAGGAGTCAGTGCTGGATCGGAGACCGGCACCAGCGCTGGAGGGACAGCTGAAAAGGACAGGAAAGAAGAAGATGATCGGATTAAGAGGTAAGTCCCTACAGCAGGATTGTGAAGGGGAAAAAAAATTCCGACTTTAGGGCCCATTCACAACTCATCCAGATTACCTCCAGACCAGACTGTTTCCGGACCCAAAATGCATCCCAATGTATCCCTCTGCTATTTCTGGCCTCTGTTCACACCAGCACAGTCCGTTCAACATGACCCGAAAAATACTGCTTGTCCTATTTTTTGTCTGGTCTGGAATGAACTGCAACGCATCAAAAACGCTTGGAACGCACCTGTAAGACCAATTTTAAAAAATTATAATCGCGACAAAATGCAATGCACTATGCTCCAGATCTGGTCCGGAAAATGGTGTGAACCCGGCCTAACGTCACTTTAAGCTTTGAAAACACGGGCTAAGCCCTTTTATGTGCATTTTTATGCCAACGGAGACTCAGAATGCAGCACATTAGTGAACATGGGACTGAGGAAGAGTCATGTGCATTTGATTTGATGGCGGCAGTGCGAACAAGACTTCACTGTTCCGTCTTCTATTTTCAACAAGTTTTTCCGCTTTAATGTAGTCGGAGAATTGATAATCCAGAACTGTGACTTTCTAGAAATGGAGCTCTGAGAAGTGAGTCACAGCCGGCTACATAACCGGATATACAGGATGTGCCCCCACTTATCACCCGCAGCGCCAATGGTCATCCATCTATAATCTATAGAACTAGAATGCGGGAGTGAGAACCATGGGCAGTGTGGAAGCCGTCATCTTCACTCTTGTCCATGGTGAAGAACGTCAGTGTTGTTTTAGAAGGATTATACAGATTCACACCTGAACGCTTTGTAGCGCGTTCAACGCTCGACGAACGCTCTACAAAACGCTCAAACATCTAAATCCCATTGTATTCAATTGGTCTGCTTCACACCTTGCCGTATTTCCGCCCGTCCGAACGCGATACAAAACGGCCTACGCCCAAAGAAGTACATGTACTTCTGTGGCGCGTTTTGTTCTCGCGTTTCCATTGGGATACAGCCAAGTAGCCCTCGAATCGCTGTAAAAACGCGCAACAAACGCGCATATACAATACGCCTAGTTGTGAACCTAGCCTTACACAATGACTCTTGGGCCACTGGTTTAGGATCAGTGCCGGGTAGCCATTCCTTACTTGATCTGAGTTGATTGTAGTGTAATCTGTTGGGATATCACTGGGATTAGCACAATACTAGAAAAGATACCAAACAACTGATAGTGAAAATAGAGGAATTTGTACAATTTCACCGACATCCATTTTCCTTGCAGACGGGTATGGTGCGCTGTGACACCGCAGTTGGAACGCCGGACTACATATCACCCGAAGTACTGAAGTCTCAGGGAGGAGACGGTTACTACGGACGGGAGTGTGACTGGTGGTCTGTGGGGGTCTTCTTATTCGAGATGTTGGTTGGTAAGTGACGTGAAGCACAATAAAGGATTGGTACTTGTCTTAGTTGTTGTGCCAAATGTTGCATGGCCAGAACTTTTTTTGCTTCTTTTTGTAAAAAGGGATATTTATTTCCTTTAGGCTAGCCATACATTGTCACATTTGTCTTGTTCAGCCCACTGGGTTTATTAAGGAAAATGGATTCTCTATTCGTGCTAAACAGCATGGATAGACAAATCTCCCATACTGGCTATTGTATTCTAACAGCGCCGGCTGTCCGATTTCTTGAAAAGCAACTGCAGCTGATTGGCTGCAGTCACTTTTCGGCTGACAATTTTCCTCCCAGCGCTTTCAGATTTTCAATTGACGTTTGTTGTACTGGGTTGTGTCAGCAGGCAGAGCCGTTCCTATAATGAGGCAGCCTGAGGCATAGCCGATCTGCTGCCCAATGTTTTGAGTTAGCCTGCTGCCCCCTTTCTGGTCAGTGTGTCCCAGGGTGCTAAGAGCCGGGTCGGGAGATGTGTAAGGGCCATAAACTCTCCCCACTCAGCTTTTAGCAGTCTTGGAGGCTCTGGCTGGCGTCCCGCCCAGCTAATGGCAACCAGTGACATCAGTGAGCTGGGCCAAAAACATCTACCTGCCCATCTCTTAGCAACCTGGGATGCTGTGGCCGGCGTCCCGCTTACCTTATGGCAACCAGTGACTTCAGTATGCTGGGCCATGCACATCTACCTGCCCAACTCTTAGCAACCTGGGATGCTGTGGCCGGCGTCCCGCTTAGCTCCTGGCAACCAGTGACATCAGTATACTGGGCCATGCACATCTACCTGCCCAACTCTTAGCAACCTGGGATGCTGTGGCCGGCGTCCCGCTTAGCTCCTGGCAACCAGTGACTTCAGTATGCTGGGCCATGCACATCTACCAGCCCAACTCTTAGCAACCTGGGATGCTGTGGCCGGCGTCCCGCTTAGCTCCTGGCAACCAGTGACATCAGTGAGCTGGGCCATGCACATCTACCAGCCCAACTCTTAGAAACCTGGGATGCTGTGGCCGGCGTCCCGCTTGGCTCCTGGCAACCAGTGACTTCAGTGAGCTGGGCGCTGAGATGATCCACTTTCTGACCCTGAAAAAAGCTACACTGCTTACCGTGGAAGAACACGAGAAAACATTTTCTTCTTCTGCCGTATTTCTTACTTGAGTGGCTCTGAAATGGGGAATAACTGGGTTCTTCATGATTCAGCGCTCTATTCCCAGGTGGCCTGCGCTGTCAGCCGGCTTGATGTGGAGGGGGTGGGCGATGACACACATACTGTATACTGAAGATCGTGCCGTCTACACTTGTCATCGCAGTAAAACTAGATGAATCTGCCAACTTCTTAAAGTGGATTTGCCCCTAAAATAAACATTTCTAACATGTCCAGGTTTTTGAAAAAAAATAAAATTATTTTGTTTAAGCCAAAAAACGAATTTCCTTTTTTACCAGCAACGTTTTTTTCCCCCCCTTCCACTGCCTGCTGCATATGTAGAGTTCAGTGTACACGCCAGCATTTGCCAGGTGTCAGTGTGTCGCTTACTGTATGCAGGGATGGTGCAACTTCATTGCTCATGCTTGGAATTGGAATCACACCTTGGGGGCGTAGTAAGACGCAGGCAGCGGAAAGAAGCTTCTGCAAACATGGCACCAGCAGCTGTAGAGGAGATACAAAGATACCCTGGGGGATCAGGAAAGTCTCAGACATTTGTCACAATGTGCACCTCCTTCCCCTTGTTCAGTTTAGGTGATTGCAGAGATTCTGATTTTAACTTTTTAACTAGATCACAGTTCTTCTTAAAGTAGAACTCCAGGTAGATATACTCACCTGAACCTCCAAGCCGGCTTCTTAGTCCGGTCCCTGGAATGTCTCTCCCACTCCTCTGCAGCGGTCTTAGGTCCCGTAAATCATCACGTCTATAGACTGTGCATAGACCTGAGGTTGCTGAGGAACATTGCAATGTGCTGCAGAGGAGGGGACAGGATGGAGGGAGCGCCTTGACAGCTGGTCGGCTTGAAGATTTGGGTGAGGATATCTCTATTTTACCACCTAGACACAAACAAGCACTTAACCCTTGCAGTGCAGGGGTAGCACCATTGCCAAGGTTTAATAATAAAAAAAAATCTGCAGTTCCTCTTTATCCCCCATTTTGTGAATGCTGAACATCTACTTTAATTTTCTCAGTAAGATCATCAGCTATTGGAGGCCGATTTACTGTTTTGTTATAACTTCCAGCAGTGTACGTGTGCTAAAACAATAGTGACGGCAACTAGGGCTGCAATAACATATCGATATAATCAATGATAACTGATAATGAGAATCGTTGTCAATGATTCTCATTATCGATTAGTTGAATCGCTCTGCTTCGTGGTTCTCCTCACTGGGAGCCACTGCATGCTGCTGTCTGTGCCTCCTTTGATCAGAGGAGGGACAGACCTCTGCAGCTGGCGCCCAGCGGGGAGTAGAAATCGCTGTGCCTCTGTGTTCCTCCGCTGCTGCCGGCGGAAGAATGCCAGCGTCAAGTCTCCCATCCAGCAGCTTGGGAGCAACTGATCTAATAGACCCCTAATGTCACCTCAAAGAGAACCTGTCATCTCCTATGTGCTTTCACATAGGGGGCTTGTGAGCCCCCCCAACCCACCCCCGTGTGATGGCAATTAAGTTAAAAAAAATGTAAGTTAAATTGAAAATACTCCTCCGACCCCACGAAGGCACGAATACTAACAGAAACACAAGTTGGATGCGGCAAATGTACGAAAATGCAGATTGTGCTAGACATGTCAAGTATCACTGTGTGTTAGGAATGCACCGATATATCGGCCGCCGAAACATATCGGCCGCAAATAGCAGTGCATCCGTGATTTCTCTCCTCCCCGCTGGGTGCTGCACTGTGTCCCAGCGGGGAGAAGAGAAACTGTCACAGGTGTCCGAGCGCTGCGGGAGGAGAGCACTGTGAGCGGCCGACGACTCTCCTCCCACACCGTACAGCCTCCTGTCACAGATCAGGAGAGCGGCGGTGTGGGCGGAGACAGCTTGCAGTGCTGTCACAGGAGGCTGAGCTCTCCCGATCTGTGACAGCATGTCAGGATGGAGAGAGAGTACAAGCAGTCGGTGATCAGTGATAAATTTGAAATGACAACAAAGACACCTTTAGAAATGTTTAGTGATGCCAATCTAGAAACGCATACTTCTAGATAATTGGCGGGTTTTTATTCTTTGCAAACCTTATTTCTCTTTTCCTTCTCATTCTTCTCATGGTGGCCATTTTAACTAAGGGCAGGTTACTAGATCTCCCTTTACTTCCTGGAACTCTGGCACATGTGACCATTCACGTAATCTCAGAGGAGGAAAGTGCCTTTCCCCGAGATCTCATGAGATTACAGATGAGATTTCCCAGCAATGCTTTGCTGATGTAACCTTCCCAGGATGCAACACTTAGGCACATTACGTCACTAATGTCCAAGAGGACCAGAAAGTGGAAAAGTAATAATAGTAACTAAAATAAAAATATGTTTGTTTAACTAATGAATGTAAGATGATTTCATATCAGTATGCAGAGCTGCATGTTAAAGTGATTTGTAATGAAAGGGGGTAAAGGTCCACTTTAATGATCATCATCCATGGCAAACCTTGATCAGGACACACAGAACAAGATGCACATTCTGAGCTAGGAGGGAAAGTATAGTGTATACAGGGGGTTGTATAACTTATAGGTTAAGTAGAAGGCCTCTTTAAGTGGACAGGTCCGTGTTGGTCACCATGAGTGAGGGCAGTATTGGTATAAGTGGACAGGTCAGTGGTGGTCAGCAGGAGTGAGGGAAGTATTGGTAATAATGGACAGGTCACTGGTGGTCACCAGGAATGAGGGCAGTATTGGTATAAGTGGACAGGTCACTGGTGGTCACCAGGAGTGAGGGCAGTATTGGTATAAGTGGACAGGTCAGTGGTGGTCACCAGGAGTGAGGGCAGTATTGATATAAGTGAACAGGTCAGTGGTGGTCAGCAGGAGTGAGGGCAGTATTGGTAATAATGGACAGGTCAGTGGTGGTCACCATGAGTGAGGGCAGTATTGGTATAAGTGGACAGGTCAGTGGTGGTCACCATGAGTGAGGGCAGTATTGGTATAAGTGGACAGGTCAGTGGTGGTCACCAGGAGTGAGGGCAGTATTGGTATAAGTGGACAGGTCA